TAATAACACAATTACCTCCCAATTACCTCCCTTGTTTTCCTATTTCCCACCATGGAATAGCTATCTTCAAACGTTTGAATTTGAAGTTGAAAATGATATTTTTGCCAATTTCTCAACTGGCAATAGTGTATTATGGGATAATTGGATTAGTCTTTAACAAGGTAGGACTGTTTATAGATACCATCTATTTTAGGGCTTTTTTTTAAATACATTTTAAAAATATAACTTAAAAATATGAAATTGTAACTTTAAACAGACATCGGCATGTAAACAGCGAGGCGATAAGCAATTCTTGTGCAAGGCTTATCGTCGTCGACAAAACGTCTCGGAGGTTATTTCTATTCATGGGACGAGGAGTCGGCTGGCGCGACAAATACTTTGTGTGCGCACACCTAAACTTATTTTGAGACTAAATGTCGTGAATTTTATATTTTCTAATCTGTATTTTTTAGCAAAAAGTTGAGGAAAAAAACAAATAAATAAAAATATAAAAAAACAAACAAAAAAAAAACCCCCAAGAAAAGAAAAAGTACATAAGACCTATAAGTTTTGATAATTTCATCACACTAGATGTTATCGGGCTTAAAAAAAAGTTTTATATTCCCTATCTTCTTGTATATAAATTATCATTTATAATTCGCTGAAGAAACGAAGAAAAAAAAAAATTATTAGACATTTGGTCGTGTAGTTGACATAAATATAGGCTAGACAATCATGATTTTGGCTTCTTTGTGTCGCTCTGAGATACACTGGAACCTATGACATATGAACTATTCAGTTTATTTATTTGATCAAATCACGATTTTAACGATCGGTTTATCAGGTACTATTATATATTTATAAATAGTTGAGGGCAGTATTTCTAGGAGAGTACATGCCGGTAATCTAACGGTTTATTATGGTAATTTCTGAACCGTTTGATTTCAAATTTTGACAGACCGTAAATCAATTCAATAGGGGGCTGACTGGATCAATACTAGTACATGTACTGTTAATAAATCGTAAATAACAATTATATACTGTTACACACTATGGTATGTGAGATTGCTATTTAATGAAAGGAGTGCCTATAATATTTACTATTTAAAGTATAACGAAACTAATAGAAGATTTTTGTTATTCATTCGTAAGTGAAAACGTCATCAAACAGCGCAATCTGAACATAAGAGACACGCCACCTATATTAAGTTTTCAAGCGATAGTTACGTATGCAAATATAGGGGTTAAAAAAATTTTGTGCAGGAGATATTTGGAAATAATATTCTATTTGATATTGGAGTTGAATTACAATTGTTTAAATAAATTATTTAATGAATAGATAGATAAATAAAAACATTAGGCCTACATGATGTTAGTCTTCATATATTTTTGTCACAAATATTTAAGGAGCCATGGTGGCCCAGTGTTTAAGGCGCAGCTTCTAGGAGGTCCAATGTTCCTGATGATGGGAAGTCCTTAAATCGATATCGGTGTTAGTCGAAAAAGTTCCTCTGGGTTGTTTAGCGTAGTTTCTCCCGTGTCAGTGGTGCAGGGTGGAGGGTCTGGAAAGGAACTGCGTCTAGTGTACAGATGGGCGTATACGTACAAGTATACACAGGACCGTTGGAATCCCCTCACTAGTAGGAGGAAACGCCATAGCCAGGACACAATTCCCCCACAGCACACTGTATGGCGTAACCCCGTCTTAATTAGTCCTGTTGGTTCATAAAGGTTGAACGTTAATCCCCATTTCATTTCGTCACTAATGTTCTGAATGTTCTGTAGCTTTTGGAATGAGATGGTATTCAAGTTTTTTGTAGGTTATTTTAGATAGTACACGCTAGCGACAGTAACGCTAAAATAGAAAATTAGAGCTGAGATAATATTACAAAAGTATGAAACGTAGGCCTAGTAGGCCGACACTAGTAAAAGAAAAGGCTTACCACGATGCAGTTTTCACCAGGTGGGTTTCAACTATAGAACAACAATTTTAACCAAACTTTCGTTGATGGTAACGAAAACAAAATTTATGAATAAAACAAATGAGGTCATTGTCGTAGCCTACAATTTTTTTTCAAAGTTCAATTATCTTTATAGGTCTTTGGCAGTGGGAGGAAAGTGGAGGGCCAGGCGGAAACCCTCAAGGTTGGAAAGGCGACACAACTCACGTGCAATATGAGGAATAATGAGGATTGAAACCACACCACTTGACTGGTTCGTTCGTCCGTCCGTAGGGTTTTATGTCCGTATAGGACTTTGGGCGAGGGTCCAGGGACCGCGCAGGCCCCAGGGACCGCGCAGGCCCCCGCAAGCTCCTTGGGGTCTAGATCGTCAGAGACGCTTTCTGAACGATTTCCAGCTAATAAAATTACTCAGCAATGAAGTGAAATTTTATTCCCTTTCATAATCCCTTAACATGCAACAAACACAGTCGATGGTGGTTTCCTTCGATTTTGAACTTGACAAATGTAATGCATAATAATACCAAGGTTGTAGACACTCTAGAGCTCACAATTTTTATACGATTTTGATGAAACTGACAATGTATATTTATATGCGAATGATCTGGATTTCTTTCGATCTTGGTGCATTATAGGATCGTCACTTCTTACATATATATATACATTCTTAGCTTGTGGTCCCTCTAGATTGTAAAAAAAAAACGTTCAAATATATGGCCGCTACCCTTAAAAGCATGTAATACCCAGGTTGTGGGCCACCCAAAGGTTCGAAATTTCATCCAAGTTGATATATCCCAAAGGTTTAGGATCCTTTCGATATTGGCGCGTACTGGACCGTAACTTTCTGGATTATGACCCTTGATTGTACGAAATATCACGTTTTAACTTGTGGACCCTCTAGAGGTCACCATTTTTTTAAATCTTATTTTCAAACCTGTTCAATTATATCACCGTTACATAATAATTATGGTTGAGTCCTAATTTCGCGAACATCCGACCGAAGCTTTCGTCAAATGACCGCTCCCCTTTACGCAAAAATAGTATAAAAGCATGTAATGCACAGGTTGTGGGTTATCTATAGGTCACGATTTTTATTCGATTTAGAGGAAACTAGTTCTTAGTTGAGTTCAATTTTGGTGCGCATTGACCCCCTGCCGTTTACGCAAAATGTGAAATATGTATGAAGTTAGTGGACTTACCTGGAGCAACAATTTTTGTCCAATTCATGAGATGAATCTTAAACTATATCAAAAGTTCTTGGATGAGTTCGACTTTGGTACGCATCTGACCTTCCATTCTAAAGCTATAGCCCCTGCTTTTTACGCAAAATGTGAAATATGTATGGATTTTGTAGGCCCTCCAGAGGGAAATGAAATGAAATAAAATGAAATGGGGTTAAACTTCCTACTGCTAAACTGGGCAGGGGGGTAGGATGGCCCCGTCGTTTACTTTAATTACCTAATCTGTCAAAGATCAACGGAAGTGAGATGGGGTTGAAATAAAGATCGACTGTTTAGTTAACTAATCGTGACTCTCGCAACTGGGGGTCTCTCAACCCAGAGATCACTATGGAAAGTCTCACTTCTATGTTAAAATCAGGCGTCGTCTAACCGCATAAATACTTGCGTGCAATAACCTGGAGAAAGATTGAAGTACTTGCGGCCAAGCAAAAACGGCCCCCGCAGAATACTCGCCATCCTTTCACGTAATAGGCATGTCCGACTAACTAGTAGCCCTCTGGGTGATCACTTATGGATCCCATTCGTTCGGTCTTGGGGTAAACCTCAAGTCGTCACAGTGAACACTCTTCTTGTCCCCCGAGGTCATACCATAATATCTTGGAATCACTTGACTCAGCATAATAAAGCCCACACGTTAGATCACCCGACAAGGATGGCAACCACTCATAACCAGGAACTAGCATGTTTATGTTATCATTATAAAAATATCGACGTGTGGACTAAATAAACATGTTAATCTTTCCTGCTTCCAGCTTTGAAGTCATATTTTTTATGGTTTAAATCACACAAAGAAATTAAATAGATAGTCCACTTTACTTAAATGAACAGTTTTGCTACTGCACCCAGGACCGTATTTAGCGGGGGTGCAGGGGGTACATTGCACCCCCAGAAAAATAAGGCGCCCCAAGAAATTACGCCCCACCCCATCCAAAAAAAATCAAAAAAAATATTTGACAATCTTTCAATTATAAAATAATACACTTGATTATGATCACATAGTGGTGCTCTTAAGGCACTGATCAGTCGATCGGTTTTAAGGGCGCCCACACGCCAATGGGTTCGTTTGCCCTGATCGAAACTTTTTTATATCAAATGAAGGCTATGGCGCCCCACCACTCTGCTGCACCCCCACTTTTAAAATCCTACATACGGCCCTGACTGCACCCTCTTTTTACAGAATGACAAATTGTCAAAACTCATCTTCTTTTGAATGAAATACTGTTTAAATGGAAATTTAAAATTCATGGGGTTTATACCGTCCTACATTATCTGCTACATCCTGGCTCATAAAGACGGGGTGTGTGAGTCGCGCTACGAATTACTCTTATTTCAAATATCAACTGTACTGTAATGGGTTCTTTAACGTGCACGGGATCCTCTTTTTTTTTTGTCTCATCACATCGACTTATAATACTGTTTAAAACATTTAAAGTTTGATTTTCAATGCTAATAATTAGGACCTTTTTGTAATGATATTCATATAATCACCGAGGAAAGTATTAAGTATCGGATAATTTCATCGCCAAGGCGGATAATAAGTAAAGATAAAAGAACACCGGTAAATAATTATAACATTTCTTATACGAAACACAAAAATGTCTAACGTTCTATTTATAATTTATAAACACATGTAATCACTCGGGAATTTTAAACATAGATAAAAAAAGAAATATGGCTATATAAAAAGATTTTGAGTTGACCGGTACGTGCAGAAAGTATTAGGCCTATTTCATTTTAGTTGACTGACTAGAACTGAAAGGTTCCCGTTATCATACCTGACAACCCCCTAATGATTGAATTTGGACTCGTCGTATTCAGGTGAAGCGTGGTGGGTAGAAGTTATATCAACAGTAAACCGCAGAACGGTTTAGGACTCGTGTGTTTTATGTAACGGAGTTTTCTCGTATTTTACAAATATTTCTGGAGACATTTAGCCAAATGAAGGCATGGGGGAAACGTCTTCAGGGTGTTTAGTATTATGGGTGTTCTTGGCATTGGTGTGTCGTCAAGTGTCGAGTGGAAATCACCACTTCTTACGTGGTCAGTGCTACAGTTATTGCCTGACTCAATACACATCTAGCGTTACTGATACTATGCAGGCACACGTGAGTTTTAATTTTATTAACTTTTGATTTTAGACCAATAAATTTTTACTATAAACTGCCATTTTAGTGACAGGATGGGTTAAAAAATGCAAAACAATCACATTTAACTACCTCAAAACTGTCACTATTTTCTCATAATTTGAGATATTAGATTTTAATGTTTTTAATCTGTCACTCTGTGGTAAAAGTAGAATGATTTGCCTGATCACATGGCCTACATAGTATGATTACCTTGGTATTTCTTTAAAGGAAATAATTATATACTTACAGTGTATGTAGGCAATTAAAGAGTTAAGTTTGCTAGGTTAACATCAATTCTAGGGCATGCATGACACATTATACAAAAAAGAATGATTTTAGAATCTTGTCAATATCTTGTAACTGAATCTAAAGCTTGTTTTCTCTGCCATGCAACAAGCCTACAAATACAAACAATTTGGGAGTGGGGGTCAAATTCTAGTAGTAGTATCCAAATGGTCCAAGTTTGAAGTGTTCTAAATAAAAGTTATTTTATCTCTGTCCTGGCAAATTTACAGTAGGCTCTATTGTCAATGTAATGCAAAACTTCACCAGATTGTGCTAAAATGTCTACTTCTTCTCATATTGCATTCACAACAATTTCGAATATTTACTAGTTCAATGTTTCTAGATAGATCTACCAACTGCAGGATAGGCCTCCTGTACTATTTTTTATTCATTAATTGTAGTTTTCTACACATCTATCAGTATTTGGGGCTATATGGTTATAGGCGTAGCCTACAGCAGGCTCAATGAATGTTATGGGGGCAGAACCTGAAATGCCCCCCCCCCCCAAAAAAAAAACAAATCGGGTTACAAATGGCGAGGGACCCCCTCCCCCCTCAAAGATTATTTGGGAATCATTTACAGTCCACGGAGACAGGACTGTTGGGAGAAAATTTTGAAAATTTAACTGTCGCAAACGCGTTTTTCTGCCATTCCAGTCCGTGAAGACAGCAACTGCAATGTGGTCCAATATAGCCCACCTTAGGTGGCTGACCTGAATCCCCAAAAAACAATCAATCATCGTGGGGTATGGGAGTCTCACCCACCCCGCGAAAAATTTAAATTTTTTTAACAACACAAATGCTTTTTGCTGCGCTAGCTGGTTAGTTAAGCAACTCCAAAATTCCTAATCGTTGTGCAACCGAAATCCCACTCTATGCTGACCTGAATTCCAACCATCCAATTAGACTGTTGCAGCTGCATACACAAATAATAATCGATGCCCGAAAAATGTTGCAGAAAGTAGAGTGGCTCCAGACAAAATATTTTAATCCATAGTCCATTCAGTACAAATTTGGGGCATTCAATTAACAGTGAAGTAAAAATTATGTTTTATTACATTTGGGGCACTTTATTTTGCCAACTACATGTAGATGAAATAAAAAATTTTGTTTTCACTTTACCCGTCTGCCTGAAACGTTAGATTGCCGAAGATTAGGGGCTCGTACGCCTATGAATATGGTTTTATGCATGTGCTTTAGATCATAAGGTCTGCTGTTGAGTCAAATGTCGTTTAGATTTACAGCTTGCAATGTACATGACACAGATGTTAGTCCCAAAGTGACCTACAATGTAGTTAGTGTCAGGTGGAAGTTAAACTGCATTTCTCTTTTTTGTCAGTGGTTTTATTTTACATGTACATGAAGAACATTTGCATTCTCAATGACATATTATTTTCAAACAATTGTTGGATTTGCCAAAACTAATCCTTTCCAAGATATAAACATTTGGGTGTTTTAAAGTTCAATTCCTAGAACTGACGAAAGTGTACACAAGGATTTAGAATGCGTTAGGATTCAGAAAGTGTTGAAAACCAAAGTCCACACAGGGTCCTGACAGGACCTGGAAAAGTATCTTGGTGAGGGGGAGATTGTGTAGGTTCTTTCAACCCAGACTCAAAATTTTTTGAAAGATACACGATCTCTATCGTCACTTTGGTGTATACCTAGGGTAACTGGAGGTCTCTTTGCTAAAGTGAGAAATAACTTTTTGGTCAGAAAAAGGTTTTTAGGGCCTAAAGAAACAAAGCCGAAAGTAAAAGTTACGCTTTTTGTTTCATTCTTTAGGATTGTATACCAGTCAGCCTACCTAGAGTGATGGATAACTGCGCAATGATCACTGGTAGCAGAGAGCAAAACTGGTACATTCACCATCATTGTAGCGTTCTATAGGCCCCGGACAAGAGCCTGAAACAGAATGAGGACGGGCCAGGCTTATGGTTTTTAATTCTCCGATTTTTCCCTAAAAAATGGACTGACAGAGTCTGATTTTAATCCTACCTAAGCCACTACACCCACACCAAAAAGTCACTGTTTTCTTCTACAGTACGTGTACTTTACGATCAAGTAACAGTGTAGCCTACAATGTATTTTTAATGTATTTGTATTATTAATTTATACCAACACATTTTTTTAAAACATTACTCAGTAACCTCTGGGCCCCTCTAGGCTCCGGGCCCCTGAACAAGTGTCCCAGCTGTTTCCCCCCTCTTTCCCCCCTCCCCTCTCATGGGCCCAGTATCCCAGCTGTCACCCCCCCCCCCCCTCATGTGTCAGATTTCAAAAACATGTGCATGTAAAAGAATCCTTGAAAATTGTGCATATTTCTCAAAATGACCAAAGGAGGGAGCCACAGGGGCTCAGTGAGTAAGATGCTGGATCTGTAACATTGAGGTTTGATCCTGGTGTTGGCCGAGAAAGGGAGCCACGGTGGCTAAGTGAGCAAGACACTGGCAAAGTTCATCAGGATTTAACGGCATGGTTTCCCCTCGCCAGTTATGCAGGACACAGGGCCTGACAAGGACAGCTGTCTGGTCGTTCGGATGTTCTGACAAGGACAGTTGTCTAGTTGTTCAGGTGGGACGAAAAACCGAGGTCCCGTGTACACATTGCGCACGTAAAAGGTCCCTTGGCAGTTGGAATTTGATATACACGTAAGAGTAGGCCATAGGCCAGAAATTTCCCTCATAGCACACTGTATGGCATATGCCCTTCTTCATTAATCCAATATTCTCTCAGGTAAATTTATATATAAAGGTTCAGTATTCTCTCAGATATAAAGTTTCATATTCTCACAGGTAAAGTTCCATATTCTCTCAGATAAAAGTTATATATTCTCACAGATGAAAGTTCTATATTCTCTTAGATAAAGTTATATATTCTCTCCGATAAAGTTCAGTGTTCTTTCGAATAAAAACATTTTTCTCATCTAAAGTGTTACAAATTTTGTGGTGAATTTTAAATATTTTAGTTTATACATGTATTGTAAAATGAATGATGTTATATAAGTAGATTGACTTGTTTTTCCAGTTTATCAACAATGTTTAGTACCATATGTTATATACCACACTAATCTAATGACTACATATATACATGTATTACTGTTAAAAAAAACCTTCTAACTATATTATACAATCTATCTTACAATCTATCTTATTGTATGTAGGGGATCACGGTGGCTAAATGGGTAAGACGCTAGCCTGGAGGTTGGGTGTTCGATCAATGCATTGGCCAAGGAAGTACATCCAGATTTTCCGGTGTGCTTCCCCCTTGTCAGTGATACAAGATGGAGGGCTTGACAAGGACAGCTGTCTAGTCATTCAGATGGGACCAAAAAAAAAACCGAGGTCCTGTGTACACATTGGCATGCACGTAAAAGATCCCTTGACAGTTGGAATTCGATATAAGAGTAGGCCGTAGTGCCGCTGTCCGGTCAAAATTTCCCTCATACATGTAGCACACTGTACATGTATGGTGTATGCCCGTCTACATTAGCCTAGTTCGGAGCAGAACAGTAGGACGTTAAACCCCATTTCATTTCATTTTTTTTCATTTATTGTATGTTTAACTCGTACAACGTAGGCAGTTCCACAAGGGGAGTGTGGGTCAGAGTTTGAATATTTGTGTGCTTCTGAATTTTTCTGTGTATAAAATTAATGCATGCTTATGTAAAACACACATTTAGTTTGTAATGTTTTTCAAGAAATTAAAAAAGTAGATTTCACATACATGTACATGTAACATATATGTCTATTGTAAGTTTTTGCATGTGGCCAATCGTGTTCACCATCCCCATTTTATAATATCATTCCTAACACTTGAGTGTAGACATCACAGAACTTTATTTTTAGCTTGTACACAAATCTTGATATTGAAAAAAAAAAAGATTTTTAACACCAAAGATTTAAGATAAAGTGATTGTTTTTCTTTAATTTAATTTGGGAATTTGTAATTCAAGGCCACAATTATTGAAAGTATTCTGTGCATTTAAAGAAAGTAGCCAATCGTATCCTATACAAACTAAACACTAGGTGAATAGCTTTCTTCATGCCATGTGATTTCCATAACAACAGGTGTACTAGTTGAAAACAGAAAAATTACTAATGATTTGAATAATCGAGGGGTTATTGATTCAGGTAAATCAATGAATGCATGAATGAATGAAATGATTAAAGTGGTGATATCAATAATATGATAGACAGTTTATCATAAAATAATCGGGCCAATTATCATACTTACTGACCCTGTATGTGACCCCAGACGATAAGATAATCAAATATAATGTAAGAGGTATTAAGATATTTTTCATTGACAATGTTTTCTTTAGTATAAATATAGAGTAAACTTACCAAGTAGACCTACAAAGTTACTGTAGATTTGCATCCTTTAAACTTACTATTTATTTTATCAATTGTACATTGTCATATATTGTTTTAGACACTGGTAGCAAGTACTTTGGTCGTTGTGAGACTAAAATATGGTTCAATTTTTATTCTACATGGTCTAGTGAGGGGTATTGCCACTGCAGTCACGATACGATACATATTGCGTTTCAGGTGCTACGATACGAATCATATCACGATTCACAACCAGGTCAATATATACCAAGAATTCAGCAGGATAAATGAATAATTGATATTTTTAATCCTACCAATGTTAAAGAAATTAAACTGTTTTATATCACGATATTGATGTGGA